ACCTCTGAGGCATAGTATTTGGCCATAGATGCTTCTTTTATGAATGGCTTTCCAGCTTCTAAAAGCCTAGCAGTGTTGTAGGTTAGCAATCTTGCAGCTTCCAGCTGGGTGGCAATGTGGGCCACTTGGTGTTGGAGCCCCTGAAAATCAAATATCCTTTTGCCAAACTGCATCCTTTCTTTCATATAGGGAATAGTGTAGTCAAAGCACCCTTGAGCGAGTCCCAGCATCTGTGCAGCAATTCCTATTCTGCCTTCATTAAGACTCCCTATGGCATACTTATAGCCGTGTCCAATTTGTCCCAGGATAATGGCTTCTGGAACCTTGACGTTTTCAAAGGTTAATGGGCAGGTGGAAGAAGCTCTAATCCCCATTTTGTTTTCCACTTTCCCTATGTGAAGGCCTTCAGTGTCACGATCTACTAGGAAGCACGTAATTCCTTTATACCCAAGGTCAGGGTTTACGTTCGCCATCACCAGGAAGATCCCTGCATATTCTGCGTTGCTGATCCACATCTTTGACCCATTGATGACATAATAGCTTCCCTTTTTATCAGCTCTGGTCTTCAAGGCAAATAAATCACTACCTGCTCCAGCCTCTGAAAGGCAGATACTTCCTACTTTTTCTGTCGCAAGCTTGGTCAAATAGGTAGCCTTTTGTTCTTCTGTTCTGTATTTTCTAATTAGATTGTTAACTACTGTGTTCTGGATGTCACATACCAAAGCCACAGAGGCATCAACTTTGGCTAATTCCTCTATCACTAGGATAGACGTAAAAAAGGAAGCTCCTGTTCCTCCACACTTTGTTTCAATTTCAATACCCATCAACCCTTGTTGAAATAATCCTTGTATTATCGAGGTGTCCATTTTTGAATTTTCATCCATTGTTGAAACCAGAGGAGCAACCTGTTCCTGGGCAAATTTGTTAACTGTGTTCTTTATCATCATCTCCTCATCTGTAAACATCTGGAGGGGGGCACAGGACAGCCCGGGGTTTGTTATACCAAGGAGAGCTGCTGACTGGGAAGATTTCAGGACACGGGGAGGAGTTTTCCAAGAAGACAGGCAAGTTGGGAAGTTTCTTCTTAGCAGCGCGCTGCCAGCCAGCAGCCGAGCCGTCGCTGCCTCCATGAGTGGTGCAGGCTAAGTGGCTGTGCCGACCCCACGAAGTCGCTACTCAGCGCCTCCTACCTATTTACTTTTTATGTTATTTCTTTCTTTCTGACATTCCAAGAGTCCTTCTTTTATAATTTTTTTTTCTGTTTTAAGAACTTCCTTTTCCCATTCTTTTAGGGGAGGTCTTCTGTTGACGAATACTCTTTCCTTTTGATGAAATTCGTCCTTCTTCAAAATGTCTTGATTTCTTGAAGGATATTTTTGCCGATATTAGATTCTAAGTTTGCAGTTCTTTTCTTTCAGTACTGAAGAACATTGTGCCACTTTCCTTTGGCCTCTATAGTTTCTGATGTGAAATCTGTTGTGTTCAAATTTATTTTCCCATATAGGTAAGGTATGATTTTCTCTCACTGTTTTCAAGATTCTTTCTTTCCTTAGTTTGATTATGATGTTTCTTGGCATGGATTTCCCTCACTTTTTTCCTGTTTCGGGTTCACTCATTCTCTTGAATCTGTAGGTTTATGTCTTTTGCCAAATTTGAGATTTCAGCCATTTCAAACAAATTTTTCACCTCTCCTTCTGGAATTCTAATGATATGAATGTTAGATTTTTGGTCCCACAGGTCCCTGAGGTTCTGTTCATTTTTCTTTTTAGTCTATTTTTTTCTCCATTGTTTAGATCTAGTAACTTCTATTGTTCTATCCTCAGGTTCATTTATTCTGTTCTTTACTCCCTGCACTCTGCTATTGATCCCATCTTCAAGTGGATGGTAGAAGTTCAGATTCCTCATGTGGTCTGACATCATAGAGAAGAGGAAAGGATTCATTACTGACTAGCAGGAATGAAATTCCCAGTTTCCTACTTTTCTCTGACACCACCTGGTGGAGGGTTGGAGCAAAGATGGAAGTCTAGGCTCTCCATTCCTCCTTTGTTGGTGAGGGTGGAAGTGGGCAATTTTTTACCATGGTGTTTGGCTAGAGCAGGCAATTACTATCTCCAAAGTTTTCTGTCTTACTGGGCTGAACCCCCCCCTTTGTTGTCTTTTGTTTAGCAAGAATAGGCTTTTGGGAAGACTTGTTTTTTATCTATGCCCATTGGCATTTCTAGGTTTCTGGCTTCTCAAGCAACCATTCTAGCATATATGATGCAAAAATGAAACCCAGGGAACTCACCACTATATCATTTCTCAGGTCCTGAGAAACTTAGCCAGTCTTCCCTCTTCTCTCCACCTTTCAGGTCTTCTATGTTTGTTCCAAAAGTAATGTATATGGTTTTTAGCTGTACTTAGTGGGAGAAATGAGGAAGAGTGCATCTACTCCATCCCTTCCCAGAATGTCTGTAATGTCTTACCTTTTTTTTTAATGCAATTATATTTATTTTTGGAAACTCAGTTTTGACACTATACTAATGCCAATATTCTTAAGACACAAGCTCAAATGAGAACAACAACAAGCACCACAACAACAAAAAACAAAAGGACAATCTTACAGTTCCTAAACTAGTTTTTTTTCAATGACAATTCTTAATGCTGTCCAGATTGCAGTAAAACTGATAGATCAAAGGTAGCATTTTAAATTGGTGCAACATATTTTGAGAGCATGCATACCAGAAGCTTATAGTCATCAATCCTGTAATCACTCTTTTAGGAACTGATTCTAAAAAATAATTTGAAAAATCTATCTATCTATCATCTATCTATCTATCTAATATTTCTACTTTAGAAAAATATATCAAATATATTAAAAAACTAAATGCTCACTAATGGAGATATGATAGAGTAAATTATGACATATAAAAACAGTAAACAATTCTCCAACTATGGTATAATGAACACTAGTAGAAAACATGAGAAACTGTTTTGATACAATGTTAAATGAAAAGAACAGACTATAAATGGGTATACATATTTGATTGCTGCTGTGTGAAAATGTGCTTATGGAAACAAAAACTAAAAAAGAATATGTAAAATTAAAACAACTGTTAGGTTTAGCAGAAGGATAATGGATTAATGAATTTATTTAACAAATATTTATTGAGTATGTCATATATACCAAGCACAGTTTGAGGTGCTAAGGATACACAAATGAATACAAAAATGATGAAAATCCCTATTCCCATGGCTTACTTTCTAATAGATGGAGAGACAGCTAACAAAATAAATAATACATTATAGTTTGCTAGATGGTAATAAGCACTATACAGAAGAATAAAGCAGGAAGATTAAGTATATGGGGGGCCAAGGGATATAATTTTATTGTAAATGTATGACTTATTTGTTTTTAAATGTGAATTCATTAATTTATAATTTTTAAATATTATTTTTTGTAACAATAGAGTAAAGCCCCATTATTTCAGAAAATACATCTTTAATTTCAAAAGTTTAGTTTCTTTTTTCACAAGATCAAGATTAAAGATTATCATTAGATTAAGAATAATATAAGAGATTAAGAATAATATAAAGCCAATGTTATTTGTACATACTATCACTACACTGAATGCAAAAGGGCATTTATTTATTTACTTACTTATTTTAAAGATTTTATTTATTTTTTTGACAGAGAGACACAGCGAGAGAGGGAACACAAGCAGGGGGAGTGGGAGAGGGAGAAGCAGGCTTCCCGTGGAGCAGGGAGCCCGATGCGGGACTCGATCCCAGGACCCTGGCATGACCTGAGCCGAAGGCAGATGCTTAACAACTGAGCCACCCAGGTGCCCCTCAAAAGGGTATTTATTGTAACTGCCTGTTTACTTGTTGTCTGTGCCATGGACTTGTATCTTTTTCTGAATTTTTGTAGCCAAACTTTTGAAAGAACCATCTATATTTATAGTCTCCATTTCTTTACACTTTCTTCATCCCTCAACTCACTCATTATCTCATACAGCTGGCTTGAACTCCTGCCGTGTCACTAGAATGGCAGTCAACAAAGTCTCTAATGACCTCTGCATCACTACAAGCATTGGGTATTTTAAGACTTTAATTATCTTTTACCTTTCAGTAGCAATTGGCAGTGTTAGTCACTCCCTCTTTTTTAAAAAAGCCCTCTCTTCTTGGTTACATGACATCATACTAACTTGGTTTTCTTCCTACACCTCTGGCCAGTTCCTCTTAACCTCTTTTGTGAGTTTCTCATCCTCTATCCAACTTTTATTTATTTATTTTTAAAGATTTTATTTATTTATTTGACAGAGAGAGACACAATGAGAGAGGGAACACAAGCAAGGGGAGTGGAAGAGGGAGAAGCAGGCTTCCCGTGGAGTAGGGAGCCCGATGCAGGACTCGATCCCAGGACCCTGGGATCATGACCTGAGCCAAAGGCAGATGCCTACTGAGCCACCTAGGCACCCTCTATCCAACTTTTAAATTGAGGGATTTCTCAGAGCCCTGTCCTAATCTTCCCTCTTCAGTCCATACAACCTCCCTGGGAGACCACATCTGCCCCCACCATTCTAGTTATCATCTACAGGCTGATGACTCCTGAATCTGTACCTCCAGATTCCTCTCTTGGGTCTCTTACCAGTAAACCCTACTGCCTACTTGACATCTGTACTTGGATATCTCTCAGGCATTTCTAGCTCTATGCTTCCAAGGCCAAGATCATCATCTCTTTCCAACCAAATCTGCCAAAACTCTTTCCTCTTATAACCCTTGTCTTCAGTAAATAACACCACCAACCCTTCTGTTGTATATGCCAGAAAACCCCGGAGTCATCTAGAACTCCTACCTCTCTTTTACCCTCTACATCTATTCAATCAAAAGGTTAAATTGATTCAATCTTCTGTTAACCCTCAAATCCACCCACTTGTTTTCATCACTACTGTTACCAGTCTAATCCATCATCAGCTGTAGCCTAAGGTATTGCAAAAAATCTCCAAACAACTGCCCTCCTTCCAAGATATTCACTATTAAGCATTAAGACTGATCTTTCTAAACTGCCATTCTGATCATGCCCTGTTTAATTTCTTCAGTTTCTTTATAGTGCCTTCAGAATCAAGTCCAGCTCTTTACCTTGGCTTACAAAACTCTCCTCAATCTCACTCCTACCTACCTCTCTAGTCACCTTCTCTTTAGAATTTCATGTTCCAATCATATTGGCCTTTTCTCAACAAAAATGTAATGTTCTTTCTCATCCCTTTGTTTTCAAACACACTTTATTACTTCACACATATCCCTACTTACTATGATCTCACCTGTTCATCTTTCAGTTCTCAGCATAAGTAACATACCTATGAAAGGTCTCTTATCCTTGAAGCAGGTTAAGTCTTAAATGCTGAATAGTTTCCACAGCATGCTAAATTCTCCCGGTTGTCACAGTTATCACACTTTACTATATTTACATGTTTGATGCCTAGCCCAGTAGACTATGAGCTTTATGATAACAGTAATCATATGTCTCCCTATTATTTTGTTCTGATACCTTGCATAATTCCTGGTCTACTGTAACTACTTATAAGGATTTATTGACAGGGAGAAGGAGGGAGGGAAGAAGGAAGGAAGGAGAAAGGTTAGGAAGAAAAGGAGAGAGAAAGAGAAGGCATAGTGCTCACCCAATCAGTCTTGAATGAGTTGGGGAAAAAGGAAAGAAATGGTCAGGGAATTTACTGAATTCACAAGCTATTTGAAACTTTTTAAAGTTACCCATTTCACATGTGTTTCTTATAAAACTGAAAAAGCTACTTTGCATTTTACAGTGAGGAGATTGAGGCTTATAAAATAAATGTCATAGCTCATCATGTTATATCTGCCATCTGGAATTCCATTTCCTTAATTTTGTTCATGTCCAAGTGCACCCAAAGGTTCTCCTTTACTCTCCACAGCCCTAATCATGTAATTTTCTTTCTCTTCTCTAATCCCACAGCATACTTTATTCTAGCACAATACTCTTTATTTTGTACTTATTTCTGTTTGTGTTTCAACTTGTAGAAAATAAAATTTTAAAGAAATAATCCAGATCAGATTATTCATATTATCAGATTCATATTATCACCCCAAGACATAGCACAAAGTTAGATGTTCAATAAAATTGTGTTAAATGGAAGCCACTTTTGAGATTTAGTCTAACCTCCTCAATCTACTATAATGGACAAGTCGATCAGAAAAGTTATTTCAGACCTACCAAAGGCCAAACAGCAGCATGCAAGCCCCTGCTTCTTTGTGTCCCCTTCTTCCACTTTCCCTGTGCATAGAATACGGGAGGAATAGTAAACTTGGGAGTCCTGAGGTCTCTGGCTAATGCTACCACTTACTGCTTGTACAAATATCCTAGACTTAGCTTCTGCTTAAGTAAGAATATAGATTTTGGCTGTCTTGTAATGCCAGTTCCCTGCAGTGCCTATCACAAAGCAATTTCAGCCTTGGACAATATTAAAAAATATTAATGAACTGCTGCTGCATAAACTTGAGCCTTAACAACCAACACTTCTTAAGAAGTCTAATATGGAAACAAAATTAGAGTGAACTAAAATAGGCAGAAAATTTCTGAATATTTTAGCTTCTCCATTTTGGTGCTAGGTATTCTGACTTTATCTCCTCAAGGCAGAACAGTCTTGGGTAGCCATATATTTGCACAATGGCTTTTAGTTGCTTTTTTGTTCATCAGCTTTCTACAACTAGTTGATTACCAAACTTATGCTAAGGCCTGAAGGCATCTTTACTTGGCATCAGTTATGGGCCCCTATAATAGAGGTGAAGAAGAATGTCTTATTTCACCTTGAAAAGGTGAAAGTGTCTTTTCCTAATCTGGTACATATTTCATCCAGGAAATTGAGAATTTTTATTATTTGTCATGAGGTAAGAATTTTTCCAAGGCCTGTTTGGAATATTAAAGGAAGTGAAATCCCTAGATAAGAAAGGTATGAGAAACTTCTTTTGTTTGGTTGCCTTGGATTTGGAGAAAACCAGAATTAGGAAAACACCTAGAGTAGATATTCTAATACTGGAATCTACAATGTATTTGTCAGTTTTGAGTCAGGCTGTTGTCTAGAGTCCTAAATTATAATGGACTCTTCAGGGCCAATAAAATCGAATAATCTGAGAGCCAAACAGTCATGTACAATTTTTGTGTTGCCCTAAGAACATTTAGAATGACTATTGGAAGACAGGTTCTGGTACAGGTAACTGACACAAGAAAGAGAAGAAAGTCCTAAGCAGAAAACACCAAAGGGAGAGAAAGAATCCTTAGAACAAACCAGTAGCAAGGATTATAACAATTATGGCATGTACAGATCAGTTAATAAAATTCTAAAAAGAAAATTCCCTTTCATGACAGATCTTTTCTGTCATATACATACTGTATCCCCAATCTAGAATAGTATGTGATACATTAAGATGATCAATAAAGTCTTACTAAGTGAACAATATCTCAGTCTGGCTTTAAGAAAGGGGACTATGAAGGAATGTGAGTAGTTTTGCATCCAAAGTCTGGGGTTAGCAAAGTCAAAAAGATGAGAGATGAGACATATCAACAACCTGATTTGCTCTGGTACCTCATACCTTACCAGCCTGATGAACTACAATAAACTGAATTCTGAATATTTAAGCTTTTTCAGACGATTAGAGAAGCCCCATGACTGGATAATGGCTGCTGCTGAGAGCCTGCCAATACTGGATAAGAGTACTAACTTCATCCTCAGATATTATAATATAAATGCAAGGACTCATTAACATTTTAAAATCTTGTCAAGAGCCCTGACAGAGAGGCCCCAGATGATAATCCATAAGAAACAAAACAAAACAAAATGAAATGATTAAAGCTTAAGGATTTTAAAAGCACAAAAAAAAAAAAAAGAGAGAGAAGGCTCCAGCATTGAACAGTTGGGGAAAAGGGATGGTGATTATGGTTGCTGTGTAAGATCCTAACATAGAGCCTCATAAAAGAAATACAATGTTATTTTGAGGACCCTCATGATCAGATCAACAGTGATGTCCTTTTGTTGGCAAGGTTTGAAGTACACATCTACACATACACCTATTAACAGAGAGATGTGCTATATTATTATCCACTGGGCTGAGTTCAGAAATTCAAAACAAAGGCCTACCCCTTGCCCAGATTCCATTGTCAAAAGGAGATCCAGGAATGGCAGTATAGTTGACTTGATGCAGCAAAGAAAAAAAAAAAAGCCCAGGAAGATATTTTTATCTTTTAATAAACAGTTTTCATTATAATCCAATGCCTACACTTTTACAAACCTGAGCTTCTCAGCCCAGCATTTATAGAAAATTGCCAAGTATCATTTGTAGATAAAAGCACAATTCAATATTTATGAATTGCTAGTTTTCTATAAATATAGACATTTGGAGATGATCTTCTCACTACTCATTAAAATTTGAACAGGGATCAAAGCTAGAATAATATTAACAAATACTCACATTTGTATAGTGTTTTACATAATACTATTAATAATAGATGACATTTATTGAGCACTTAGCAAGTACCAGGCACTTTACATGTAAATTCTCATAACGAATTCAGTTTAGTTCAACAAGCATTCAATTAATACCTACTGTGTGATAGATGAATAACATTGGTTTCTATCTTTAAAAACTCTCATTTTTGGTGCATTCAATCAATGTTTGTTGAAAGAATAAATGAATGGATGGATGAAAAATTAACTGGTTTGGATGGTACTGTGGGGTAATAAAAATAACACAGGCTCCTCTCAGTACCTATGGTATAGAGAAAATACTTACCTTCTCCTAGCCTCAACTTTTTCATCTGTAATATAGGAATATTTAAGCTCTCCCTTGCAAAACTGTGGTGATGATACTGACAGCAAATGTAAAATATGTAAAAAGAACAGGCTCTCAGTAAGTGAGAGCAGTTATCATCATCATCACTACCATAATTATTACTATTTTAAACAAGCCTATCAAACTCTCCTCACTCTCGCTATAGCAATGAACAAGTATAATTTTAACATGCACAAAGCACACAACATCTATATAAAAATGCCACAAAGAAACCATCAAAGCAAGGGAAATCTACTAAACTGTAGTTCCCAATGTTCTACCAGGTTACTATACAACATCTCTGCTCAGGCTAGGAAACAAAAATAAAACAACATAGAATGAATTTCAGTTACATTTCCAAAGACACCATGATAAAAGGCCAACAGGACAGGAAGTTTACCAAATAACAGACTGTACCTTCCCTCATAATGGAATGCTGGTCACTCCATATGTGGAACCATGTTCCCTATTCCAACATTCTCAAAGAGCCCTACCCTCGACCTAGAACCCAGACAATAGCCATCAAGAAACTCATTTTACTCCTCTCAGTGCCAGTGAGGTTAAGCCCTAGCCATCCAGCACATAAACTTTGAGACCTGGATCAAATTCCCAACCAGAAGTAGGCCCCGTTCTGGTCACTTACCATTTGGGTCTGCTTGTAGATTTCACCATAGGAGCCATTCCATCTCTATAAAGACTCTTGGTTTTACTGAAGTTAACAATGTTGAAAATGACTCTCTGAAAAAAAAGGAAAAAAGTTTATCAGAAGACTATGCTATGCAAGTTGTCACTTCCTGCTAATCAGGAATGGAAATGATAAGCAAGGTTACAGGAAGCCATATGGACTAGTTGCCAACAGTATAGTGAGAATAAATGGTGCCCGTAGAAAGTCAATGTATTTGTGCCAGCTTAGCACAGTAGTCAAGAGCACAGACTCTGAAACCTGGAAGCTTGAGTTTTAATCCCACTCTACCACCCTCAAGTCATGTGACCTTGCCAAGCTACTAAACTTTTCTATGTTCCAGTTTCCTCATTTGAAAAATGGCAATAATAACAGTACTTAGGATTACCGATGATAATTAAATAAGGTAATATATGTACAGTGTTTGGAACCATGCTTTGTACATAGTTAATGCTACATAAATTTTAGCTATTATTAACTGTGCCCTTCTTGAGGCTGACCTACAATTTATATGGAAATGAGTAATAGTATTATTAGAGTAAGAGTATTACATTTGAAGTTCAGAAAAGATAATAACTGAAGGCAAAATTGAAGTTTAAAAGTTCTGCAACTGTTCAGCACCCCTTTTACTAGACCTGGAGGATATATGTCCTCTTCTGCACCTCCTTTTGTTATCCTTCACTGGGGGCCAGGGGTACTGAGCTCAACCCTAATTTCAGCATCAATTTATAGAAGCATAGGTACTTGGGGAAGTCCCTTCCCTCTCTGGGCTTCATGTTTAAAATGGAGCAGTGGAGTGCTCTAGATGACTAAAATCTTTCCAGGAGGGTAGTATAGGTAAAAGAGATCAGTCTTTGTTTTAGTAAACAATTTCATTATTATAAGTGGAGAGGAGAGATGGGGAAAGAGAAGAGAATTGGGGTTAAAAGACACTCAATGACCATTGAAATTGTCCAAAAGAGAGTATGAGAACCAGATCAAAGGCAGCAAGAATAGTCAGAGAAATAGGAGAACTTTCAAAAGGTTACCATAGGCTAGTTTTTCTATCCATAGGCGGTGAAAGAGAGCGAAGCATCAAAATTCACATCTAATTTCATTGAGCAAATATTTATTGTCTGATGTATTATATAATAGCAAGGGCCAGGAATTTTATACATTTTTATAAATGTTTAAATACTCTACTATAACTATACAAAATATTACCAACTCCATTTTACAGATGTGGAAACTGAGCTCAGAGAAGTTAATTAATTTGTCCAAAGTCATGCAATTAATATATGGAGAGTTGATATTTAAATCCAGGGAATAAAAAAGATAAGTAAAACGTCCATGATCTCTACCCTTGAGTTACTCAATAAGGTTCCAGAATTCTTTTAACTATAACCAAGCCTGTTTTGTAAAGTAAGGGCAAAAATAAATAAAATGGTAATTCTTTAACCTTTTAAAATTTTGTTTACTTAAAAGAGAAAATCAAAGCTATTTTCTCTGGCATCGCATTTAGGACTAACATAAAATGCTTTGTTCTATGAAATAGAATCTTAGGAATAACGTGTTTTCCTTTCTGCTCAGAGACCCAGTTACTGACCCCATCACCAGGCATTTCAGATGCAGACCTCTCTTCAGTTGTTAAATTAAGTCATCAAGAATGTCCAAGACTGTTCAGTTATTAATAACCTGGACCCAGGGGCGCCTAGGTGGCTCAATCGTTAAGCATCTGCCTTAGGCTCAGGTCATGATCCCAGGGTCCTGGGATCGAGCCCTGCATCAGGCTCCCTGCTCAGCGGGAAGCCGCTTCTCCCACTCTCATTCCCCCTGCTTGTGTTCCCTCTCTTGCTGTGTCTCTCTCTGTCAAATAAATAAATAAAATCTTAAAACAACGACAACAACAACAAAAAAACACCTGGACTTGCCTGTTTTCAGTTTAATTACTTCTCCCAGCGTCTTGGCTGCTGTCTGATTTAAGAAAATAAGTATCAAGGGGACAAATGGCCTTTGAAACTCACAGGGCTTCATCCCCCTTTTCTGAGATTTTCCAGGTATCAGATCTATTTCCAGTGAACCTGGAAGCCATATTGCTCTTTTAGGATCTAGATTAATGCTAAATATAAGGGAAAATCTAATACAGAAATAATGTTCATATGTGTAGCTGGAATAAAGAAATGAGAAAGTGAAATATCTTTTGATCATTAATATCCTACTATCCTCTGCCCAGTAAAATTACCCAGGTCTTTTAAATATGCAATATTATTTCCTGACTTGTTAATTTTAGCCATTCTGACTGGTGTGAGGTGGTATCTCATTGAGGTTTGGATTTGGATTTACCTGATGCCGAGTGATATTGAGCACTTTTTCATGTGTCTGTTGGCCATTTGGATGTCTTCTTTGGAAAAATGTCTGTTCATGTCTTCTGCCCATTTCTTGACTGGATCATTTGTTCTTTGGGTGTTGAGTTTCATAAGTTCTTTATAGATTTTGGATACTAGCCCTTTATCTGATATGTCATTTGCAAATATCTTCTCC